TTACAAAATAATATAGAATTTATTTGGACTAATGAACATGAAGAAATATTCAATTGGCTTAAACAACAATTAATTACTCCTCCTATACTCCAATATCCTGATTATAATATACCTTTTGTTCTCTTTATAGATGCTTCTTATCAAGGCATTGGAACAGTACTCGCCCAAATAAAAGACAAAAAGGAATATGTTATCGCTTATACAAGCAGAACATTATCTCCTGCAAAAAAAAACTATAGTACTATTGAGCTCGAATGTTTAGCAGTAGTCTGGACAGTAAAATATTTTCGACATTATATATATGGAACGAGATTTACTCTGATTACCAATCACAAGGCTTTACAATGGCTCTTAAACTCTACTACCATTAATGATAATAAACAGATTACAAGATAGAGACTTACCTTACAAGAATATCAGTATGATATTAAATATCGTGCTAGTAGCCAAAACCAAAATGCAGATTTCTTCTCTCGCTTACCAAAATTTTACAAAGATAATGAATGATAAAGATTATAATTAATTGTTAAACTATTTAACTCATCTCATATATCCCACGGATGCTTCTAATACGGAAAAATCTCGTTTACAAAAAGAAGCTAAGAAATATTTTGTAGAAAATAATATTTTATAGGGAGCTATTTTTTATACCCCCTATATTTATTAACCATACCCCCTAACAAAACAAAACCTTTGATCAATAATATCTCAGCAGCCACTTAATGAAATTCGATATATATATATATATTTTTGATTCTATTTGTTTAGTCGATTTGAATAAAAAAAAATTTATTGAATTTGGTCGGGTGGTTGTTGAAATATTTTTGCTCAAAGTATTAAAAAAACTCAAAACGCCTGTTAAAACAATTTTTTAAAACTTTGAGCAAAGATATCTCGACAACCACCTACCCAAATTCGATAAAATCTTTTTTATTAAACTAGGCTAAACTTATATAATCAAAAGAAAAAAAAGTTCATCGAATTTGATCAGGTGGTTATCGAGATATCTTCGCCCAAAGTTTTAAAAAAATTTGGCGTAGCTTCTTTATTTTGATCAACGGTTTGAGTTTTTTTAAAATCTTTGAGCGAAGATATCTCAACAAACACCTGATCAAATTCGATAAATATTTTTTTATTTAAATTCTATAAGCATTGAGGATTCAAATAAAAAATTATTCATCGAATTTGATCAGGTGGTTGTCAAAATATCTTTGCTCAAAGTTTTAAAAAAATTTGGTGCAGCTTCTTTATTCTGGAGTTTTTTTTAAACCTTGAGCGAAGATATCTCAATAACCACCTGATCAAATTTGATGAACTTTTTTTTTCTTTTGATTATATAAGTTTAGCCTAATTGATAAAAAAGATTTTATCGAATTTGGATGGGTGTTTGTTGAGATATCTTTGCTTAAAGTTTTAAAGAATTATTTTGATAGGCGTTTTGAGTTTTTTTAATACTTTGAGCAAAGATATCTCAACAATCATCTGATCAAATTCAATAAAAATTTTTTTATTTGAATCGATATACTAACAGAATCAAAATAAAAAAATTTTATCAAATTTTATCAGGTGGTTACTGAGATATCGTTGCTTAAAGGTTTGTTTTGTTAGAGGGGGTGTGGTTAATAAATATAGGGGGTATAAAAAATAGCTCCCATTTTATATCGTCAAAATAATAAAAAGCCGCAAAGAGTAATTAAACTATTTCAAAAGCCAACCATCCTATATTCTTTACATAACGAACAAGGAGTACATTTGGGTATTGAATCTACTTATAATAAAATAAAAGAAAGATTTTATTGGTCTGGAATGTACGAAAATATTAAAAATTATATTCAAATATATGATATTTGTCAAAGAAGAGGACATGAAGTTAAACACCAAACCTTATAACTATTAGAAGTAAAATATCCATTTCATAGAATTGAAATAGATATAAAAGGACCATTGCTGATAACAAAACATGATAACAGATACATCATTGTTGCTATGAATTATTTAACAAAGTGGCCTGAAGCAAGAGCTACATCAGATGTAAAAGCTACTACTGTTGCTAAATTTATCTATGAAGACATTATTTGTAGACATGGAACTCCAGAAATATTACTTTCTGATCGAGGAAAGAATTTTTTAAATGATATTATAAAAGAGTTGTACCAAAAATTTCAAATTAAATATTATAAATCTTCAGCATATTGACCTCAAACCAATGGAATGATAGAAAGATTTAATCAAACAATTGGTGAAGCCCTAGCAAAAATTACAAGCTATAAATACAAAAAATGAGATGAAATCTTTCTTTCTGTATTATTAGCTTATTAAACCATAAAGCATGGAACTACTAAATTCACTCTATTCTCGTTAATATAAGGATCCCACAGCAAAACAAACCAGTGGGCAAAAAATTTTGTTTTTGTAATTTTATAAAAATTGCATTTCTAATACAGTGCAGACAACCTAGTCCCAACCAATATAATTGATGAAATTCAAATTGCTAATCCTTTTTTAAAAAAAATAGT